AATAAACAAGAACGATGCTGAAAATTAAATTGAAATTAATCGAAAAAAGCTGTAAAAATTCTGAAAATACCGCGGAAATTAAATTGCAAAGAAAAAATTAATGTTGAAGAAGATAAGATGCCCTCTTACGGCGTCTTCTTTTTCCTTTTATTCCCTAAACCCTTGTTCGGATAAAGTTCTCATTCCTTATTTTTCTCCAAACCCCCCCCCCCCAACTTCTTCTCACTTTCAAATTATAATTTATCCGTTTCTCCTTTGACCAAGTATCTTACTGATTTGGGCCTTCTTGTGGTCCGTGTTCTCCCTAAGTCGGGCTCCCAATATGGATTGGGCCTCTGGTTGAGTTTTGGAGTGTACAAATGCCCCCAACAAAACTATCTCGGGTAAAAATTAATTTGGTCTCCGGATAGTTTTGTAACCTCCAGAATCTTGGTTCGAGCGTACTGTCTCATCTTTTTGGTATCGCCCCAAAAACTTTACTCTTCACTTTCTCTCCCTCTCTTCCTGCTCGTGAAAGAAACCCTAGTCCTTCGAGCTCCTCCCTTCGTCTTTCACCGGCGATTTCTTCCGACTTCTCACGGTGACCCTTGGTCCTCCTCTGACGACGCTACCGAGCGGCATTTTCAGTAGTTTCGGCGACCGGCGGGCAGAAGGACGCTAGCGAGATTAGCTTACGGTCTTTTCACCACGGGGGGAATTCCGATGTCTAGATCGAAGCCGGGTGTTCAGTCCAGCCATCGTCTTCCGATACACTCCGAGAGAGCTCCCCTATCATCCGGTGGTACTCGGTTTGGGCTCGCGCCTTTTGCGAAAGATCGAGACGAACCTCCGGAGGGTTCTTTCGACGCCCTAGGCGGGGGTAAGCTCTTGCTAGCCCAATCTTGGTTCAATCTTGTTGTTTTTCCTTCCCGTATTTTCCGACTTCCTAGTAGTTTTTCTGAGTTCAAATCGTGGAAAGATAGGCTAGATCCCCTGTATGGGGCACAATGGCAAACCTGGGGCATTCGATATATGCTGTCGGTATGTACTGATTTTGTTCCTAGCGACAATCATATGATCAAATCCCTTTTATGTTTCTGGAGCCCTAGTATAAATGCATTCGTGCTCCCTTTCGGGATTGTGGCCCCGACCGTGTTGGATGTGGTTGCAATATTAGGCCTTCCCTTGAAAGGAGTAAAACCTCATTTGTCTCTATCGTACAGCTCTGATCGATTGTCCATTCCCTTTGCTTATGATAGCAACACCACTGTGAGTCAGTTCATTGTGTCGAACATGCTCTCTGGCCCCGTCGAATCCCTAGAGCACAATGCTTTCCTTATGTTTTGGTTGAGCAAGTATTTTGTTTGCTGTGCATCGAAAGGGTTTGTTCGGGGGGTGGAACCGATTGTACACGTACTCATGTCTGGGGCGGAGATAGACTTAGCTTCGTATTTCTTGGGTCTGTTGTGTTGCAGAGTAAATAAGTTTTTGGAAAAAAAACTCTGTCTCTTCTTCCCGCGAGCCGGTCGGAGCAGGTCCTCTGTGGTTTCTTGAATTATGGGCGTGGCTATATTTCCCAAATTTGATCAGCCCGCGTCCTGAACTTCCCCCTCCGCCGTTCGTACCTTTAGGTCTTCACCCATTCCCTTTTGCATGAGGCTAATCGGCCTCCGTCCGATTTCAGTCCTTTGTCGGGTTTCTTCTCATCTCGTGACACCTCCGTGAGTTGGAACAAATGTCTTACTGCTCGCATCTTAGTTAGGGGGTTATCGGTAGCCTCTCGATATAATCCCTTACTAGGAGAAGTTTATCAACCCCAGTATTGCGCACGCCAGTTTGGCCTGGTCCAGGCAATTTTCCTGTTTGGTTTTCTTTTACTGCCTCCTCTCTCTGCGGATCAGTCGTTGGGATCGTCCCTCCTTGATGACTGGCATGCCTACATCCGCGATATAGAAGAACTGCCACATTCGCCCCATACTTTTAATCCGAGCACACTACCTTCCTTTGATGACTGGTGGGCTGAGTTTTTGGTCCACTCGAACGTGGCGGCTCTTCGGCAGTCCCTGATCGATCCGGATAACCAGCATTCGGGTGGTAAGGATTCTCCCGCTGCAGCTTCCGATGAGGTGGAGGAGGTTTTAGTATATTCAGCCACAGGTACTTTATTTACATGCTTTCGTATAACTCGAAAGCGAGTAATAACCGATCTTTTCTTTCGACCACAGGAGCCCTTCTCGCGACGGGTGTCTCATATGTGCCGCTTTCGGCCACTCGCCGTTCTCAGAGACTGATATCAAAACCGGCCGCGACCAAGCTACGGCCGAAGCGCCCTGCCAAACGGCCAGCTCTATCGCCACCCCTTCAGGTATTTCGAATAGCGATTTTCCTTTTGACGAGACAGAAGCCTCATAATTCGCTGTTCTTTTAGCAGATTCTTTCCAAGAGAGCTGCTCCCGTATCCTCTGTTGTTCTCACTGAAGATTCTTCTTTCTGGACATCTCTAGTTCATGTATGTGTTACCTTTCTCTTTCTCCGCAAGAATGCATCTTTGATGACTTTTCTTGGCAGGTTCTGCACGCGAGGACAGGCTTTGAGACTGTCGCCAAGTCGCCTGAGAGATCTGCCTCTCACTCACCGTCTATCCCGGTACGAGTCTATCGGCCAATTTTAATTACTTATTAGGCTCGGCTTCTAACTGGATAAATGTGTGCAGGTTCCGTGAGGGGTTACTACTCCGGGAGGGTCGGTTTATTCGGCTCGGGTTCGTTCTCCAGCTTCCACCCGGCCTGAGCCTGCCATGCCGTCTCTTTCTCCATCGACTCCTTTGGCCCTGAAGGTTGTTCCTGTTGACGTAGAGGCGTACTTTGCTCAAAACCTTGTCACCGACGCCTCTGCCCCAGTCAATATTGAATGTTTGGATCCCTTTAGTGGATATCAATCGGCCCTACCGGAGGACTCAACCATTTTAGACAACCTGCAAGCATCTGTTCTAACAGCGGCTGCTCCATTGTCGCTGGGCCTGTCGCGTCGCCAACAGCTGGAGGAGCTTGCCGATCGCCTGGGCAAAATTTCCAGTCGCCTGAAGATGCTGCAGAGTGTTCGCGGCGTAAACGACAGTAAACTCAAAGAATTGGCAGTCCTGGAGATAGAGAAAACGGCTTGCGCTTGGAGTTTTTTGGCCGAGAAACAACATGCTGAAGATGAAGCAACATATGTGGAAGGTCTCCACGCCGAGGAAAAAGCTTTACGTTCGGAATTAAACAAGATAGAAGAGCGTCTGAGAGAGATCCCACCAGAAATAGCACGGGTGACCGCGAGTCTCGCTTCCAGGACCACTCGTAGGATGGAGATGTATGATCGTGCAAGGGCATTGGATGAACCTCTGTCTGGGCTCAACAGTAAAAGACTTGTTTTTAAGAAGAACCTTCAACGAAAGAAAAGGGGGTTAGAGGAGCTGCATCTCCTCTGGCCGAGTGTAACGGCCTCATGGGCTTCTTTGCGCCCTGGGACTTCAGAGTCCGCCGGTCGTTTTCCTCCCATGCTGGTCGCTGTAACTGAGGGTTCATACGTTACCGGGACGGCATCTAATCCACCAGTCTCGAGTGCGTCTACCGCGAGTGTTGGGCTCGTTGATGTTCTCGTTACGCATGATGCAAATTCGGGCTACTGCCCTGCAAGCCAGTAACTTATCTTATGTTTGTGTAATTTTCGACTTGAATCTGCCATTTCCCTTTTGTTTTTGACTCCTTTTGTGATGGCGGTCTACGGATGGTGGAGGGATTTGTTTTGTCTATGAATTAACCATCTTTTTGATCAGGGGTTTGCCTTTTATTCTAGATCCCAAACGGACGGATAGAACTGCTTAGGATATTTGCTGTTAATGACCGTTTTCGACTCTTTCCTTCGGGTTCCATTAATCTGTATGCTCCATTAGTTGTCTTGACCGATACGATGAACGGTCCTTCCCATGAGGGTGACCATTTTCCGAATTTCAGATCTTTCGGCCCAAACGGAAGAATCGTTTTCCAAACCATATCACTTTCTTGGAAAGTTTGAGATCTAACATGCTTTTGGAAGGCCCTTTATGCTTTCTTTTTTTGACTTCGCGTATGTTCGAGTGCTCGCAATCTCTCGTCGGGCAAAGCGTCGAGCTCATGTAGTAGCATTTGGTCATTTTCCTCCATTGCGAGCCCGTTCGCCTGCAGAACCCGGAGTGATGGTACAGTAATTTCTAGTGGGAGCACAGCGTCATGTCCATAAGTCAGGCGGAAGGGGGTGTTTCCGGTTACCGAGGATTTGGCGTTCCGGTATGCCCAAAGTGCTTCGTCTAGCGTGTCGTGCCAACCTCTTGGATTATCTTCCATGCCCTTTCTGATAATTGAGATCAATGCCTTATTCGTTGCTTCAGCCTGTCCGTTAGCTTGAGGGTAGTAGGGGGAAGAATGGAGCAATTGAATTCCATATTGAGCCACAAACGCCTTGACCTTCGTCCCCATGAACGCCGTACCCTGATTGGTAGTGATGGTCTTGGGGATGCCGAATCTATGGATGATATTCACCTTGATGAAGCGTATAATATGGCTCTGCTGCACTTTGACGAGTGGTATGGCCTCCGCCCATTTCGTGAAGTAGTCGGTGGCCACAAGAATAACCGAATGCCCTTTACAAGACGAAGGATGGATCTTTCCAATCACGTCCATTGCCCAACCCAGGAAGGGCCAGGGCTTGACGATCGAATGGAGTTTCTCTACGGGGATTTGTCGGAGCGGTCCATGGCGTTGACAGGCCGGACACCCACGTGCATAATCGATGCAATCCTGCGATATTCGCGGCCAAAAATAGCCATAGCGAAGTATCGTCCATCTCATCGTAGGTCCAGCTTTATGTGCGCCTCCAATGCCTTCGTGGACTTCCGTCATGGCCTTCTGTGCTTCTTCGTGCCCTAGGCAGCGAGCCAGCGTCCCGTCCGACCTTCTTCGATACAATTCCCCATTGATTTGAGTGTATTTCATGAGCTGATATCATTCGGCTTTTGTCGTGGCCTTCCTGGGGTTGGCTAACCCTTCCAGCAAGGGGGTTCGCCAATCCAGACCTGGCCTATCGACCTGTGAGCATTTGCCTTCCCAAGGCATGTATCTCCTTCTAAAACCGGACGCCCACTGTTCCAAGTCGTTTGCTTCCGCATTTTCATCTCGGAGTATATCTTCTAAAACTACGTCTGTAAGCTGTTGTAGAAGACTATGGACTTCGCGAAGAAGAATCTGAAGTTGCGGATCTCTACATTTGAACTCTTTAAGGGCCTGTCGGATAACTAATTGAGAATCCCCACAGATGACTACCTTCCTGACTTTTCGGGCCACGAGGAAACGTAAAGCTAATAGTAAAGCTTCATATTCAGCTTGGTTATTTGTAACACCTTGCGGGAGTTGGTGCGCAAAACGCCATACCTCTCCTTCTGGGTTATGGATTATTACACCTGCCCCGGCCACCCCTATGGTACTAGAACCGTCGAAAGCTACCGTCCAGGGTTCCACCCCTACATAATCTATTGCTGTGGCCTGAACCATCCTTGGATGTTCGGCTAAAAAATCGGCAATGGCCTGTCCTTTGACGGCCTTGAGGGGTTGATATGTTAGCGAAAACGATGTTAATTTTAGTGCCCATTTAACCAAACGGCCTCGAAGGACTGGCCTATTTAGCAAATAGCGGAGGAGATCAACTTTACATATAACCATAGTTTCGACAGGCAATAGATAATATTCTAACTTTGTACAGGCATTATATAGAGATAAGCAGAGTTTTTCGATGCCTGAATATCGAGTTTCGGCTTCATTTAGGGTCTTACAAAGATAGTAAACAGCACGCTCTCAACCTTCATTATCATCCTGGGCTAGAAGACAACCTATTGTATCGTCTGTCGCGGCTATATATAGTTTTAGCCCTTTTCCTCGGATCGGCGGCATTAACACCGGCGGAGATGTTAACGCCTGCTTGATCCGGTCCAGGGCTTGTTGCTAGGCATCTCCCCATTCGAATGCGTCTTTCCTCCCCCGCAATAATGTAGAGAAGGCTTTCATCCTCCTAGCGGCGTTAGCGATGAATCTCCTCAAGAAATTGACCTTTCCCATCAGGCTTTGTAATTCCCTAATGTTGCGAGGAGGCCCGAGGTTCCTAGACAGCCTTAGCCTTGTTTTTATCAACCTCGATACCTCTTTGATGCACCAAGAACCCCAAGAAATTTCCTGTTTGTACTCCGAAAGCGCATTTGGCTGGATTCATCTTGAGGTCATGCTGCCTCATTCGCAGGAAGGCTCTACGAAGATCCAGTAGATGATCGGCGAAGACTCGGGATTTCACGACTACGTCATCTATATACACCTCCATGCTAGCGCCAATCAGGTCTTGAAAGATGGCGTTCATCGCCCTTTGGTAAGTGGTTCCGGCGTTCTTTAAACCAAAAGGCATGACTATCCATTCAAAGATTCCGATTGCCCCGGGGCAACGGAAGGCCGTTTTATGAGTATCTTCTTCGGCCAGGTATATTTGATTGTATCCTGAGTATCCTTCCATGGACGATAAGATTTCATATCCCGCCGTAGAATCTACGAGCATATCGGCGATTGGCATTACATACTCGTCTTTTGGAGTTGCTAAGTTGAGATTCCGGAAATCAATGCAGATGCGGATTTTCCCATTCTTCTTCGGCACGGGCACGATATTGGAGATCCATTGGATACCTGCATGTTCGAATGAAATTAGCCTTGAGAAGTTTTTCGACCTCCACTTTTACCTTCGGCAATAGTTCTGGGTTGAAACGCCTAGGGGCGTGCTTATGGGGTCGGCATAAATTCTTGATGGGTAATCGGTGCTCTACCAGCCTTCTTGATAACCCTGGCATTTCATGGTAGTCCCATGCAAAACAGTCCCTAAATTCACGGATCAGAGCGACCAATTTCTCTTTAGTGGTGCCATCTAGTAAGGTGCTAATCCTCGTCATCCGCGGCGCTGCATCACTTCCTAGGTTAACCTCTTCCATAGATCTTGAGCTTCAAAAGAAGGGGTAGCCCTCTGGATCGGCGGCTGAACATTTTCTTCGTTTTGATCGTACGCAGGCGGTCCGGGAACTGTTCCTGTCTGCTTATCAGGCAACCGGGCGGCAAGATCGCTTCCTTGTATAAATAGGCAACCTGATTTGCCTGCCCTTGCCTCCCGCTCTCGTATGATTAGGTTGTCAGACATGACGACTACCTGCGCCGTCGGGCCGTTCGTCGGCCTCTATTGTAATTTCGAACCGTTTTATGGTTAAGTTACACTCCTTCCATCTCTCAACGTCCTCCAGCATCATAGAGAGTGGGTAAACTTCCGGAGAATAATACACAGCTTCGGCCGAATGTACTTCCATGTTAGGATCAGTTTCGGCCGCCACTGTTTCGACTTGGTTCCCATTCCAGAACATGACTTTCTGGTGGAGAGTTGACGGCACACATTGAGTAGTCTGAATCCAGTCCCTCCCAAGAATGGCTGAGTACGTCGGCCTTCCCTCGACAACAAAGAAGGCCATTTGATCTGTTCTGGTTCCAACAGTCACTTTTGCCACTAAAATGCCCGCAATTGTATGTGCATTACCAGTGAAGTCGGTCGTCCGCAATGACGTTGGAATTAGATCGTTTTGAGTTTTTCCTATTTTTCTCAAGGTGGGCAGGGTCATGATGTTGACCGATGCCCCTCCATCAATCAGAACCTTGCTGACTATTTTTCCGTCGAGGTAAACAGTAAGGAACAACGGTTTAAGGTGCCGTGTATCCTCGTCAGACAATTTCTGGAAAACCACTGGGTCCGGAAGTTTTTCCAAAGTGTTCTGCTCTTGTTCTGCCCAGTACAACGGACCGGTTTCTTCCAGCAAGACATCTCCCTGGAGGAAATTAGGCTGGGACGAAGGCGCTTCAAATTCCTGAGGTAATATGCCCACTGTCCCAATCTCAAGGTCGGTTTTATGCTGTTTCAGATCTTCGTCGTCGGGGATAATGTCTGTAACCATTCCGCAGCCTCGTCGCATATGAGGGCGTCAATCTTAGGTTCGTCTTCAGGAATTGGATTTTCCCCGATCGTCACCGTGAAGCTGGTCTTTTGGGGAAATTCGACCCTTGAGAAGACTCCTTTTGGCCTCCATTCTTTCCGGGTCTGGATATGATGACGCAAGTCTCGACGATCCAAATCTGATCTTTCCGTACTTCTCCCTCTAGATTGTTGGTGTTGGATGTCAGTCTCTCTTGCATGGAGAGCTCATTGCTGCCTTCTAGCCTACTGTTCAAGACGAGCGGCTAAACGCTGTCGTTGGGCCCTCCGTTTTTGAGTTCTGGGTGGGGAGTTGGTTCGACTGATTCTTCTGATTGCATGCCCAACTTCCGTCGTCTGGAGCCTTTCCAAGCTGTCGAGTTTGGCGGGGTGTGATCACCACTTGATCTATAGACGTGACTCGCCAAACTTCTCCTCCTTTTTAAAACTCACTTCAGCGACTATATTTGTGGGGGAGAGTCTATCCTATACCGAACCTTTTCTCGGAGGTTTGATTGCCCTTCCGAGTCTCTCAAACACTGGTGTTTTAGTGCCTGTTCCCCTGCCGTCTGCTCTAAACTCTGGTCCAGTTTTCCTAGGCCTAGGGGGACACATTCCGACAATGTTTATCGGCGCGGGGAACGGCTCTATATCTATCTTCATGTCAGGTTTCTCGGCCAGCTTGAGGCGACCTTCTTTGATTGCTTTCTGAACCGTGTTTCGGAGAGAGATACAGTAACCAATTTGATGACCGTACATCCCGTGCCACTTGCAAAATGATTTTCCATTCAGTTCTTCTTCAGACGGCATCTTGTGTCCCTCCTTAAGACGAAGCTGGTTATATTTTAGAAGATGTTCGAAGATATGTTCCGTTTTTGCGATATCAAAAGAATATGATACCTTTGGGCTAGCGTCTTTCCATCGAGGCGGCTTAAAGGCTGGACATACGTATGTCTTTCCTTGTGTTATTTCGGCCAGGAAGGTTTCCTCACCTTCTTCTTCGAGTACCTCCTCTTGAGTGAAGACAGAATTATTTGTGTTCCGATATTTCTGATTCCGCGCTGCCTGGGCCTCCCTTACCAAGTACTCGGCCTTTACAGCCTTAGAAGTCAGCTGTCGGAAATCCTGATACTCATGGAGAGCGAGTTTGTCCCGTAGTTGGTGCGTCATGTTATCAATGGCCATATTGACTACCTGATCCTCTGGTATACGGATTTGGCACCTAGTTTATGACCTTCTGAAGCGCTTCAGAAACTGTTCAACGAATTTGTCTTCTCGTTGTCGTAAGTTAGTCAAGTCCGAGACTGTCACTTCTGGGAACGGACTATAGAATCGCTTGTGGAAGGTTCTTTCCATGTCAGCCCAGGTCCGAATAGAGTTCGGAGGCAATGAGGTATACCATGAAAAAGCTGGACCTGTAAGGGATAAAGAGAAGAGTTGAAGTTTGTACCAATCATTATTTCCGTACTCCCCTCCGCATTGAGCCGTAAATCAGCTAACGTGTTCGATCGTAGAGCGGGCATCTTCTCCTGAGAATAATGTAAACTCGGGGATCCGAGCGTTGCGGGGTAATGGATGGTCCAGAGGAATATATCCTGGAAAAGGATGTTGGTAATGAGGTCTCACCGGTAAGCGTATGGGGTCTCCGTAAATCCTTCGTATAACATCTTCGATTGCTTGAGGATTCAGGAGTGGTGGTACCACCTCTGCATGCCCCCCAGCCTATTTTGGAGGTGCTTGGATAGGTGATGGGTTCCGGATCACCGGCTGTGGAGGAGCTTGGGGGATCGGTTCCCTCGGTGGGGGGCGAAACCTAGGAGCTTCTGTATTTTCCCTTACTGCTGGTGTCTGTTGTACCGGAAAATTACCGGGATTGGCCTGAGCAGTAAATTCAAAATTCCGCTGCGGTCCGTAACCAGCAGCAAATGATCCGTCGGTAGCGGTGGCCTACCCCCCAGCACCTTCTAATCCCCATGCTACCCCTGTAGAGATAGGGGGAAACAAAGGTACCGGATTTATGGACGGCCCTGCCCCCCAAAGGTTGCCGGATCCTGGTCCAACCATTGCATATCCCTGAGGAGTCGGAGCGGGAGGTGGCATGTTCAACACCGCCCCTGTTGTCAAAAAACCTGGGTGCCAATTCGAGGCAGGTGGTACTGACCCGAAGGTCATGGCACTCCCTCCTGCCTGGGACTGCCGCGTCATGGTCTGCTCTGTTACTACGCTGGGTTCCCCAAGCCTGCGGACAGTCGCCGGAGGCTCTCCAGATCCATTTTTACCAAGGATTGAGACGTGACCATAACTGAGCGCCTGGGATGCTGTTCCGAGATTAGCCGAGAAGACAGGATTTGGCCAAGACTCGGGCGAGTTGGAACCTGTCATGGGAGCCTTGCCTTTTCGAAGTTCTTCTTCCCGGAGCAGTGCGAATTCTTTTCGTATGGTAGGTTTGAGCACATCTGTAATGTATCTGGATATTTCCAGAGCAGATTCGTGGAGGGAAGATTGAATTTCCCCCCAAATTTGCTCACGGAGTACGCTGGCCGGGAGGCTGACGATGGGATCAGATCCTCCAACCGTGGCGGAGGTCGCATCCCGTGGGGGGGCTTCATGCGCAGGATGCGACGAAGAGTCGCCGAATGTTTCCTTATTCTTTGACATCTCTACGACTGTCGGCGGCGTCAGTTTCCTTTTTCGAAGTTGCATGCAAGAGTCGCGAGACGTTGGTGTCCCACTAGGCGTGCCAATCTGTTGTCGTAAAAAAAATCGCCACCGACGGCTTAATCGGAAAAGCCTATCGGAATTGATTTAATCGTAGGGTTCCCCGGCCTCCTCAAGAAAGGATCCGGGTTATCTCGCAATAACCGAAAAATTGATGAAAAAAGAAGGTAAAATAAACAAGAACGAAGCTGAAAATTAAATTGAAATTAATCGAAGAAAGCTGTAAAAATTCTGAAAATACAGCGGAAATTAAATTGCAAAGAAAAAATTAATGTTGAAGAAGATGAAATGCCTTCTCACGCGGTGTCTTCTTTTTCCTTTTATTCCCTAAACCCTTGTTCGGATAAGGTTCTCATTCCTTATTTTTCTCCAACCTCCCTCAACTTCTTCTCGTTTTCAAATTATGTTTTATCCGTTTCTCCTTTGACCAAGTATCTTACTGATTTGGGCCTTCGTGTGGGCCGTGTTCTCCCTCAGTCGGGGCTCCCAATATGGATTGGGCCTCTGGTTGAGTTTTGGAGTGTAAGGGGCGTATAATGAAATTGCATAGAAATGAGAGTAGACAATGAAATTAAAGAGAAATAAAATTAAGTAGAGAATGAGAATTAATTCTCTTCTTTGGTAAAATAGAGAATTCAGTTGAGAAATATAAAAAAAATGCAGCTATATAAATGATCAAATAAGAATAAATAATTAACAAGATAAAAAAGAGTTTTAACGAATAAGAATTAATGAAAAATATTTTTGATGACTTTTTTTTAAAAAATATTATAAATTATATAAGATATTTTTTAAGATTATATTTTAGTAAAACTTATTAAAATATCGCAAAAATTAAATACTTCAACAATAAATTAAATTTGATTTTTATAAAATTGAAATAATATAATTTTAAAAAACTTATAAAAATTAAATAATACAAAAAAAAATATTAAAAAATATATTAGAATATCATTTGTCTCTATTTCTCTGTACGTGCAAGATAAATAAAAATAGAAAAATAAAAATAATTTATCTTTCAAGTTCAATTTATTTGACTCAAACAAATAAGAAAAATGAGACCATTATCATTTTCTGCCTCATGTACCAAACAAAACCTAACTGTGTTCGTTTCATGGACTTTCGCTTATTAATGGCATCCACATGGGGTTTCTCTCCATGGGTGGTTTCTCTGTTCAACAATTCAATGGCGAGTTGCTATAATTAATATTACCAGTTGTTCCAATTAAATTGAGATACAGGGCAAAAATTATTTTTAATAGTTTTTTAATTATTTTTTTATATATTTTATTTAAATTATATATATTAATATTTTTTATATTACATAAATTCTTATTTTTTATAAAATAATATTAATATTGAATATTTATTTTTGTTTATTTAAATATAATTAATTTATTATAATAAATGAATATTGACATATTTTTATTTAATAAAAAATTTAATTAAATATAATCAATTAATAATAATATGAATAATAATTTAATTTTGTAATGATCTTATCATTTATTCAATAAATTACAAAAATAATTAAAATAAATATAATTACTAATTATATTTTAGAAAAAGAATTAAAATAAGAACATAATAATAATAATAATCATATTAATAAATAAGAATGTGCATTATTACTCCTAATTTACAATGGAACAAAAAAAAAAAAAAATTTGATTTTTTCCCCTTCAAATACATTATTTAGCATTTGGTACTATAGAAATTGTCAATTCTAGTTTGGCCCCGCGCCGCCCCTGAGACAGTAGAGTTGAGTGAGGGAGCATTATATACACACATAATTACATCTTTCTTCAGTTCTGCGTCGTCGTCCCAAACAATTATAATTATAATAAAAATAAGAATATGCATTCTTCTTGTGTGATGCAGCAGCAGAAGCTCCCAATTTCTTCTTCATGGCAGCATCCTCCTGCACCAGCACCATTCTTGTTCAAATTACCTCCTCCAACAATCTTCCAATTCTTTCCCAGAAGACCACTTTCCCTCCATGCATCTTCATCGCTTTCTCCCTCCAAATCTGTTCTTGTTCAAGAAGATGAAGAAAAGAGATCCAATCCAAGATCGCCGGAAACTGTGTGCGACCTAACTCCGATCAGTTTCTTGGAAAGGGCTGCCATGGTCTACGGTGACTCCCCTGCCATTCTCTACAGTGACACCTGTTGTCGCACCTGGTCCCAAACTAACACCAGATGTCTACAATTGGCTTCCTCCATAGCCTCTCTAGGCATCACCAGAGGCGACGTCGTTTCCGTTGTCGCCCCCAATGTGCCCGCCATGGTCGAGCTCCATTTCGCCGTCCCCATGTCCGGCGCCGTCCTCAACACAGTCAATCTCCGCCTCGACGCCACCGCAATTTCGAATCTTCTCCGGCACGGCGAGTCCCGGCTCGTGTTCGTCAACTCCGGATCGCTGTCCGTCGTCCGCGACGCGCTTGCCCTATTTCCGGCAAACTTCCGGCGCCCGCCGGTGGTCGTGATTGACGAAGGAGATCAATTGAATACAGAGAAATCGCTGAAGATCAATGGCGACCACGACCAATTTCTTAATTACGAGGCTTTGATCGAATTGGGGAACCCTAATTTCAAATGGATTCGGCCGCTGAGCGAGTGGGATCCGATCACGTTGAACTACACGTCGGGAACGACGTGTTCGTCGAAGGGGGTGGTGCAAAGCCACCGGGGGGCGATGCTGATCGCCGTGGATTCGCTGCTCCACTGGTCGGTGCCGCCGCGGCCGACGTTTCTGTGGACGCTGCCGATGTTCCACGCCAACGGCTGGAGCTTCGCGTGGGGCATGGCGGCCGTCGGCGCCGCTAATGTCTGCCTCCGGAGCATCGACGCCGCCGCGATCTACGACGCAATTCAGAGGTTCGGAGTGACTCACATGTGCGGAGCTCCGGTGGTGCTCAATATGTTGGCCAATCATCATCTCCGTCGCGATTCCGGCGAGAATAGGAAGCAATTGGAGTCTCCGGTGCATATACTGACGGCGGGGGCACCGCCTCCGGCGGCGGTGCTGGCCCGCGTGGAGGCGTTAGGGTTCGTGGTGAGCCACGGATACGGATTGACGGAGACTGGGGGGCTGGTGGTCACGTGCGCTTGGAAGCCGGAGTGGGACAAGTTGCCGGCGCCGGAGCGAGCTCGCCACAAGGCCAGGCAAGGCGTCAGGTAGGGGGGCACATTTAATTAATTAATTAATTATTTATTTATTTAATTAATTATCAATATTCCTTCCCTACGTACATATAGATAAAAGAATATATAATTAACGCTCATTTAACCATATAGCTTTAATTAATTGATTGTTTAATTAATTTTGGGATTCGCTTCAAATTATAAATTAAAATAATATTTGTATTAGACCATGTACAGTCAAGATACTCATCAAAACTATCTCCCATTTTTCCATCTCATCCTCTTTTTTTCAAATCATATCTTATTTTTTTCAACTCAACAAAAAAATATATAAATATTTATATTTATATTTAAACTATCTATTTTAAAAATAAATTACAAAAAATATATTAATACATATATCATTATAAAAAATAAAATTTTATATAATATAAAATAATAAAAACTATAAATATTAATATTAATAAAATAGAATAAAACAAAAGTATATATTTTTTTTAAAATATATGTTGAAAAATTTTTATTTAAAAAACCAAGCATATTCTTGAATATTCTCTACAAAGATATTTAAAAAATATGTTTTTATTTTTAGGGTGTGTTTGTTTGGAGGGTTTTGAATTTTGAATTGAGATTTGAACAGTTGTACGATATAAAATTGATTTTTTATATAATATAAAAATAAAAAATATATATATATGATTTGATATTTTCGGATAAAAAAATTAGTATGAATAGTAGAAATATTTCCAAATTCCTTAAACAAATATACCTTCTTTTAATTTTTTTTGGCTGAGTACTCCAAGGTGTGTTCTATTATTTTTGTAATTTATTTTTTATTAATTATTTTTAAAAATCTTAAATTATCTAATGCCAAAAAAATTATATTTAAACTTTATTAATTTATATTTTAAAATTTTAATTTAAATATAATATATTAATTAAAAATAAAATTAAACTTTAATGTTACATTAATTAATTTACTACTTATTTTAAAATATATAAATCTTAATAAGTTTAAATTTTTAGTATAATATATTTTTAATATTTGATATCTCAATATTAATTTTAAAATTTAATCTAAGAATACCATATAAATTAAAAATAAAAGTAAAATTATATTTTTAAATTTTAATTCAAATATAATATATAAATTAATTATATTATATTATATTATGATTTCGGTCACTCTGCGCTTTTATTTTTTGGATAGATTAATTTTTGTTTTTGGATAATGTGAGAATCCGCAGTTGTGTGAAGGTGCGGTCTCGATAATGGATGGATTAATTTTTGGTGTATGGTATTTGACATTTTTATTTTTTTGACTATTACGTTGAATATTTTTTATATTTTGATTTTTTTTAGCAATGAGTATTTGAATTTTATTTTTTTTTTAATTTTACTTTTGTAAAAAGTATTTTGTATTATAAAGTACAAAATAAAAGTCAAAATATTTTGACGAAGCATAAAATATACTCCCTCTGTCCCAGATACCGTATCTGCTACACTGTAGACACGGTATTTTAGGAGGGGTGTAATTAGTAGATAATTAAGAATGTATTAGTGAAAATAATTATTCAATAATATAAATAATTATAAATTAAGATTAAGATAACTAATTAGTTTAATTAAAATTTAAAAAAATAAAATTAAAAAATTTAAAATGAGATTAAAATGTGTAATCATTTTCCAAAAAAAGAAAAAGTGACATGGTACGTGGGACGGACAGAAACGGCAACGGGACATGGTATCTGGGACGAAGGGAGTATTATCTAAAAATATTTTGTGCTTCATCTTAATATTTTGAGTTTTAAAATATTTTACATGCAAGTCATATTAAATTTGTATTGTGAATGAAAAATAAGTAATGTATGCGATGTTATACTAAAAAAAGAAAATTACAATATATAAAACAGTGTAACAAAGACTAAAAATTATATTCCATCGTCAGATCAATTATGTTCGCAGAAATGGATGTCCTTGACCCCAGTACCGGCACTAGTGTGGCCAAAGACGGCTCGACACTTGGTGAAGTGGTTCTACGGGGCGGTAGCTTGATGCTCGGATATCTAAAAGATCCAGACGAGACGGCAAAATGCATGACAAAAGATGGCTGGTTCTACACGGGCGATGTTGGTGTGGTGCACCCTGACGGGTACTTGGAGGTCAAGGACCGGTCTAAAGATATAATAATTTGTGGCGGAGAAAATGTGAGTAGTGTGGAAGTGGAAGCGGTGTTGTACACCCACCCCGCCGTGGAAGAAGCTGCGGTGGTGGCGCGGCCGAGCAACTTTTGGGGGGAGACACCGTGTGCTTTTGTGCGTCTTAAGGAGACGACGACAGAGGCAGAAAAGCCGACAAAGAAGGAGATAAGGGAGTTTTGCAAGGAGAGGTTACCCCTCTACATGGTGCCGAGGATGGTGGTTTTTGTCGAGGATCTTCCGAAGACATCGACCGGAAAACTTCAAAAGTTCTTGCTTAGAGACATGGCTAAGTACTTGTGAGAAAATTTTAAAATTTAACCTAATTTTTATTAGAGTACAAGTGTTGTAAAATTTCATTGCAACAAAATAAAGATCATTAAAAATAACATAGTAATTTATTGAATTCCAATGAGGGAGAATTTTAATGTTGTTAGGTATTGAATTTATTTAGGCTACTTGTGTCATCTATTTGTAACTTATTAGCTATATGGAAAAGGAAATTTCATAGTTTGAATCATCTATAATCATTGTTGTAAGTATTGAGTTTTGGGGTTTTTAGGAAAAAGTTGAGAGATATGGGATAGATTAGTAACTTTCTCAATAAAAGAAAGGTAAATTCTTTAGATCTTTACTACAAGAAACCCTAGACTATCTTAAGAAAATTGGGCTATGATTAAATACTTGTTATTATTATTACTATTTTTATTATAGTAAAACAAAAATTATAATTCTAATGCTTATATGTATAAAAGTGTCTATATATTTCAATTTAATTTATTTAGCAAATAATTCCAAATTGATATTACGAATGTGTTCACTTTCAGAAAAATAAATTTGGTCTCGAAAAAATTGTCTCGGAATCAATTCCGGAACCATATTAATACATATATAATATATTTTAAATGAACTAAATTGGGTTGGTTTCGGATTAGTTAAAATGATCTTGGAATTTTCCAAGCTATATTAAATATATATTTTATTATATTAAATAGTTTCAGAATTTTCGAGGTGATATTAAAAAGAAGAAACTTCCCTCGTCTCAGCTAATTTGTTCACTTTAGTTTAGACATGAAATTTTAGTTATTGTATTAATTAGTAAGCAATTAAGAAATATATATGTAAAAATAATTATAATTTAATAAAAATAATTATAAATTAAGAGTAAGATTACTAAATAATTTAATTAAAATAAAAAATTATAAATTAAGAATTTTAAAATGTGATTAAAGTGTAAAATTATATTTCCAAAAAAGAAAAAGGAGAAATTATGTGGGACGAACGAAAATAAAAAGAGTGGACAAATTAAGTAGGACGGATGAAGTATTTTATTACATTAAATAGTCTCGGAATTTCTGAGACGATATTAAATACTATATCTTTTATTTTATTAAATAGTCTCGAAATTTCCGAAGTCATATTATATATATTATTATATTAAATAGTCTCAAAATTTCCGAACTAATATTAAATATATTTTATTATATTAAATTATTTCAAAATTTTCGAAGTCATATCAAATATATATTTTATTATATTAGGTAGTCTCGGAATTTCTGAGACCATATTAAGTATATATTTTATTATATTAAATAATGTCGAAATTTCTCATGCTATATTAAATATATATTTTATTATATTAAATAGTCTCAGAATTTTTGAAATAATATTAAATATATATTTTATTATATCAAATTGTTTCAGAATTTTTAAAATTATATTTAATATATATTTTATTATATTAAATAGTCTCAAAATTTCCGAGACTATATTATATATATTATTTTATTATATTGAAAAGTTTGGAAAATTTCCGAAACCATCAAAAAATTAAATTAGCACCACTCTCTCCCCTTCTCTATCTGTATATAATAATTTATTTTTTAAAAAATAATTCTAAATTTAAAAAATAAAAAATAAACTATAAAATAATCAAATTTCCCACCATTCCCTAATTTTTAAGAATGTGTTGTCTTAATTTTCTAAGTTATTTTACAAGATGGTACTCTATATATACTAATAATATGTTGTATATATTTATATTTGGTGATTGTTTCAACCTATACATATAAGAATGTTTAAATTTTTAAAATAAATTTTTCAAATGGTAGTAAAAGATGTTGTGCTATATGTATTTATATATGATGTTAACTACCGTTAAATAATGTATTGTTTGTATTTATATACATAATGTTATCCGGATATTCTAAGTTATTTTAGTAAAAAAACCCTACATGACATTAGGCTATCTCTAATCCATTCATTTATTTTTTAAATTTTTCTTTAACTTTTTTTTTTTTTTCTAAATTGTAAATCCATTTCAAATCACTCTATTTTTTCTTCTAAAAAGAATATTCCATGTATATTCTTTATTTCTAAATAATTATATAATATTTATTTAATTTTTATTTATTTACATATTAACCCCAAAAATCTCTTTTCAATAAATTCAAATTATTTTATTGAGACAATTTAAAAAATAATTGTAAATAATAATAATAAATTATTTAATTTAATTATTTTTATGTTAAAAGAAAATAATGATTTAAAAATAAATAAAATAAAAAACTGAGGTGAAATCATAAATATATTAAGAAAATAACATGCGAAAATAAAAATACAATTAAACAAAAATATTATTCATTACAATTGTCTTGATTAATATAGTGTTCCCATAAATGATCTATTAATACATTCCGCAGTGCCATATGTGCATCTTTGTCTCTTATCCGCTAGTGTTGGCTGAAAAATTGCTGAAACCCTAAACACATCTTCATCAACGACTATTTCAACCGTAGCAAGTAGTGTATATGGATTGTCTATTATTGGTGCACTTAGATCACGTTCGTATTTGAAAATCATATTATGCATGATAATGCACGCAAATATTATGTCATGTGTCAGATTTAGATATTTCTTTGATATTATTTGTTAGTTTAGGCCTGGCATCGTGTCCGCCCTCCTCCGGCCGTCGTTTTTCGACCGCCGCCTCTTGCTTTGGTTTTCAACGTCGTGGTGCGGTTGATTTTTTCATCGGAGTTGATTTCGTTTTGCGACTGTTACCGGTTGGATTATTCGATCAATTTTCTTGATTTGGACCTTGATTTTGTGATTCACATTTTTTTTTTTGTTTTTTTTTTTATAGAGCGTATAGATGTTCATTTACCTACTATTACTATCTTGTCCGACGATAATTATGATCTTTGGATGTAATCTATGAAAAGTTTATTGTTTGGTATGAAGTTATGGTAAATTGTCACTTGCGATATCCAGCCACCTGGGTCTCCATCTCATTTTGTGAATGTTGATCCCACATCTCGGGAGCATGAAGATTATGTTGCTAAATTGGAAGATTGGGCTGGTAAGAATCATCAGATTCTTATTTGGTTGCGCAATACTTCTGTACCTGCGATTCAGGTACAATTGACTTTTTTTGATACTGCAAATGAGGCATGGGATTTCCTTGTTGCGTGTTTCCAAACTACAGGTCTTGCTCATTATTATCAGTTTCGGGTCACGCTGAGCTCCGCCCGACAGCAACCTGTTCAGTCTGTTAATGAGTTTCCTGCTCAGGTTCAACCTATTCGTTATCGTCTCCGACAGTAATAGATAAATCAAGACCATTTTGACTTTATTCAAATCTTGATGGCCCTTTGACCTGAATATGAGATTGTTCGTTCCTTATTCCTACATCGACATCCATTGTCTACTTTTGATGCTGCCATTCAGAAGATTATTTTTTAGGAGACCCGCCTCAAATTGGCTAAGACACCGAGTTTTAATTCTGCTTTAGTTGTGTCTCGCCAGTCTCGATCTGCTAGTACTGGATGTTGAGTTTGCAAGTCTCCTTATCATACTTGGTCCACCTATCCGAAGATTGAGTGTCACTCTTTTCATCTGCGTGGCCATATTGCTTCGGCTTGTCCCACCAGATCTCAGCGTTCAGGTAGTTATGCTCCTAAACATTCCGGTAGCTCTGCTCCTAGACATTCAGGTAGTTCAACTCCCAAACCTCGGGAGCCTAGTGGGTTTTCTTTGATTGTTTCTCCTTCGGTTACAACTGCAACTACTAATGAGACTCAGCATTCGTTTTACAATCTTCATGACATAAAATCCATCATCAAACAAGTTATGAAAACTAATTTTGCTATGTCTACCACTCCAGGTACATCTACTTGGTATTTTGATTCTGGTTGTTGTCACCACATGACCTATAACCCTCGTAACTTGACCTCTGTGTCTCATGTCTCCCATTTACCACCTATACATACTGCAAATGGTACTACCATGCGTATTATCCACACCAGTCTTGTGTTCTCCCCTTTCCTATACCTTCCTGATACATATTGCATCCCTGACTTAACCTTAAATCTTATCTATGTTGGTCAATTAGTTGAACAAAGTCTTACCGTTAGTTTCTCTTCTAATGGTGTGCAGGTTTAGGATTCTCAGACGGGTCAGCTTCTCGGGACGGGCTGCAAGACACATCGGTTGTTTGAGCTTGAGTCTCTCCATACCTCTTGCACATATCCTCGCTCTGCAACTCTTACCTCTGATTCCTCCAGTCTTCATTGGCATCTTCGTCTAGGTCATGCATCTTCCAGAAAGCTCCAGTCACTTAATACTAAAGGTCTTTTAGTTCTAGGTCATTTTGAGTGTTTTAATTGTATCAACTGTAAACTTGGCAAACAGTCTGCTATTAGTTTTTCGGAGAGTTTATCTACTGCTACTGAATCTTTTTCTTTAGTACATTATGATATTTGGGGTCCGTCTCACGTTGCATCCGTCAGTGGTTTTCAGTATTATGTTATATTTATTGATGATTTTTACGATTTACTTGGATTTATTTTTTGAAAAATTGTTCCGAATTACCCTCTATATATGTTCAGTTTTCTCAGATGTCACACACAATTCTCCCGTCCTATTAAAGTCCTTTGTACCGATAATGCTTGTGAGTACAACGCGTCATCATTTTTGAAGTTTCTATCCAGTCAGGGTATCTTGGTACAACGTTCCTGTCCTTATATGTCCCAACATAATGGGCGGGAAGAACGCAAACATCATCATATTCTTGATACTTTTCATGTCATTCTTTTTTCTGCTAAGTGTCCTGATCATTTTTTAGGGGGAGAAGCCTTGACTGCCGTTTACAGCATTAATCGTTTACCTTCGTCAGTCCTTCATGATGCTAGTCCCTTCGAGCATCTATTTGGTCAGTCCTCTGATTATAGTTTGTTCCATCAATTTGGTTGTGTGTGCTTTGTCCTACTCCCTCCCAATGAGCGGAGAAAACTTTAACCTCG